ACGGTCCAACAGGGAGATCCTAGACATGCAAGAAGATGGGAATGATAAAATGGACTGGGTTGAGTGGAGCTGGCACGATGAGAGGAAGGGACGAGGAGAGTGATGTGTGTAACGGGTAGGAGAAATTTGGTGCAGAAATAGTCGTACTTTGTATCGGGAACACTTCTTGTTTGTAGTATTATTTTTTTATTTTCATGATTTGTTTCTATGAACAATGTCTGGTAAGTACTACTTAATCTTCATATGCTGCAGCATATCTGTATTGTAAACCTTTTCATGCATATTTTCAGGCACACTTGTATGAATGGTTCACTGTTGTTATGAAATGGACGTGTCTCAAGGTAGACTAGTACAAAGCTAGTAGACTAGTACAATCAATAGTGTCTCCAATAATGTGCTCTTCTTGATTTGTTCTATAAAAACAATCATTCACGCACAAACTCCTTGCACAACAAATTATGGACCCTTATGATTTTGAATGTGAGCTCCTGCCAAACTTCGATGATGAAGTCGACATGGATGAAGAGGAAATTGTGCAACGTCTCCAAGAGGACATTAATAAATGGTTTCGATATTGTCGGCAGGCAAAAATAGACGTAGCAACGTACTATGATCGGCAAAGAAGTCGAATTCGGCGGTTCCCTTTTGCGAGAAATGGACACATGTTCATGCTGGATGCAATGAAGTACAATCCAAAAATGTGTTATGCCGAATTCCGCATGTATCCTGCAACGCTGCGAGCATTCACGCATATACTCCGCGACAACTACGGACTGCGTAGTGGCCAATAAGTAGACGTGTACGAACAAGCGGGGATGTTTTTGTGCATATTAGCACATGGAAAAGGGTATCGACAGGTTCAAACATTATTCAATCATTCTTTGGAAACTGTTGGCCACTACTTCAAGATTGTGCTCGATGCTGTGGTGGCATTTGGTGAACGGCTAATAAGACCAGATCCGAATTATAATAACGATGCAGAGCATCACATACCAGATGTGAACAAGCATCCGTTATTTTGAAATTGCATTGGTGCGATTGACGGAACACACGTCAGAGCTGTCATGCCGTGCGACGAACGAGTGAATTTTATTGGACGCAAAGGTATCCCAACACAAAATGTTCTTGCAGCATATGATTTCAATTTATGTTTCACATTTGTGCATGCAGGGTGGGCGGGGACAACGCATGATGCACGCATACTGGCACGGGCGATACATAGTCCTGAAATTGATTTTCCACATCCTGTACCGGGAAAATATTATCTTGTCGACTCTGGCTTTGCCCACAGACCTGGATACATGGCTCCGTATAAAGGGTCAGATATATTGTATCATTTTCAACAGTTCTACGACGATCAGACAAGTCGGAGACGAGAGTTTCGAAATGCGAGAGAAAAATTTAATTTTAGGCATTCGTCATGCATGAACGTAATAGAGCGGGCATTTGGTGTGTGGAAAAATCGGTGGAAAATTCTTGATTGTATGCCAAGTTACAATTTCAAAGTACAGACTGCGGTTGTATTAGCTACCATGGGTATACACAACTACCTTCGATGTGTCGAAGTTGACGACGAGGCGTTCGAAAATGTGGAAGTGGATCCGGACGCGGCGGAGGTAGAACTTCCAGATGAGCAGGAAGAAGCCACTGGCGAAATGAATGCACCAGAAAGGCAACGCAATGAGTGTGATAGATTTCGAGATTACTTGGCTCAATGTCAGTAAGCTTGTATGTATAACAACGTTGTTAGTGTACAATAATGTTGTCCATTTAACTTTGAAATTACTACTGCTCATTTGAATTTCGTTTTTCTTTTGCCTTGCGACTTGGAAACTGGAAAAAAAAACGCAATTTTTCTTGACAACACATACGCACGGGAATTATGCAAATGAGGGAAAAAAAGATATATTAAACAGACTTATGTTTTCACGTGAATTCCGAAAAGGAGAAAAAATGATGAAATAAAATCCGGTAGTGCACTCATTTCCCGGTAGCTTCACGTCTCTCCCGGTGGCTTCCATAATTTTTTTTCATCAATAGAAAAGTGGGCCCCACACCATATTATTTGAGGTGAGACGTGAGAGAAAAGAAGATGTGAGAATAGTCAAAGGCTGCAATTGTTTGTCCCTTTCGGAAAAGTGGTGAGTTGAGGGTAAAAGGGTAATTTTTTGTTCAAAAGGTGGACAGCACGTGAAATGCTTGGAGCAGGTGGGACCACTTGATTTGATTGGAAAATTGATTTTGGATTATGAGAATTTCTCCCAGACACATGCTTAATTTTGAATCAATTGATTTTTAGGGAAAATGATGAAGATTGATTTTAGTGGCCTCGCGGCCTCAGACCCCCTTTGTGGCAACATGGATGAATTGTGCAATGAAGTTTCAACCAAATATGTGTTTATTGTGACTAGTTGTGATCGATTGTGACTGTTTGTGACTCGTTGTGACCAATTGTGATCGATTGTGACTTGAAATTCTGGAAATTTTTTAGAAGTTGGGGAGTGGGTGGATGGGGTGGGTAGGTTGATCGGAGCATGCGTTGGAGTGGTCGTTGGAGCAGTTTGTCAAAGGGATCGTCGAATAAGCGTCGGAGCAGGCGTCGGGGTGATCGCCGGAACAGTCGTTGGAGGCCGGAGTGATCAGCGGAGGGACTACAGTAAAACTTTTCTCAAAAACTGGACACCCTCTAGGGTCTTTTTAAGTTATGTCATAAATAAAGAGAAATAAAGGAAAAAAGGAAAATCTAAAGGAAGAGAAATGTTTAATCTGAGATTTTCTGGAATTTTTTATGTTGCCAGAGTTGCCGCTGGAGAGATGGCCGGAACAGTTGCCGGAGTAGATGGTCGCCTCCGATGGAGATAAAAGGTAGGGAGAGGATAGAGAGTAGAAATAGAATGATTTAGATTTAGATTTGAAATTTAATAAATTGGGGTAATTATATTATAATATAATTAAAAATATTTAATAAATTGATTTAACACCTGATTTTTGAAAAGATTTTTGGAGTTTGTTATTTTTGAAATTTAATTCTTATATGTAGGATTTATGTATTGTTCCCAAAGTTTAATGGCTACAAGAAGTCAACAATCTATGGCCCAGTTTGTTTCGAATTAATATTAAATTTTAATCTAAGTCAATGTCAAATAATCAATATCAACCACATCTTTTACGTGTCCAACAACTTTTTAACCATATATTTCAAAAACTTTTATTAAAATCTACTAAAAATATAATTTTAATCCCCATCAAACACTATGTATATATATGTTTCAACGTCCAAGTATGAATCGATATTTAATTTTATTAATTGGAGATAATAGGGTGACTAATGTTGAAAGTGAATTAAAGTTCAATGAATTGATAGAAACAAATTAAAGATGAGTGATTCAATTGAAATTTTCATTTGATTTCTTGAATTAATTTAAAGAAGAGTGATCAACTAGAGGTTTTCATAAAAGCTTAGTGACTAAAATTAAAATTAACCAACTGCGTACGTGGCAAGACGTCAAATACTATTATGTTTTGACGTCCAATAAGAATCGAACATTAACTTTACTAACGGGAGATAACATAGTCATTAATGTTGAAAGTACATTGAAGTTTAGGTACTATATGAGATCAATTAAATGTGTATGGCCTAATTGGAATCTCCATGAAAGTTCAATGACCAGAAAATAGAAAATAAACTTGAAAAACCATAAAAACTCTGAAGTATGCACAACTTGAGAAATCTAAGGCAAAATATAAAATAAAATAAATAAACAAAGTGATGTTTGAAACGTTAAATTAGATATAGTCGTTCCAAATATCCCAATATAACGACTATTTTATACTATGTCATGGGCATTTAAGGCTTGTTACTCTATAAGCAAAACTATAGTTAGAAATTTCGAGGTACTTTTCATAATTATTATCGATTTTTGTCGTTTCTTTTCTTTCAAAAGTATATACAAATTATTGAAATTAATACCAACTGTTTTGTGAGCATCATTTGTCATCTTGGAAAACATTAATGTGGTAGAGGGAAAACAAAAGAGAGGCATGAATTTATAAACGCATTGTGATCAAGTAAAATTGTATGTTTTTACTCACTTTCAATTTTCTTTCCTTTGTGCTAGTATTGCTCTCGATAATATATTCAACAATTACAATTGCTAAAATATCATTTTTAAACTTTTACAACTCATTTCTTATTTCAAAATCATCTTACTGATTGATACAAAAGAAATAATAAATCTCATTACCATAGCATTCTCTATATGAATAAATCTATATGTACATAATTATTGTACATAATGGATTACATATGTCCATGTGGAAGAAATTTGACCGTGGATGTTAAGTGTAGAAAAGTCAAAAATTGTAGACTACCGATGGATGCGCGCCATATGTCAATTATGTAATGTATTATGTAAATGATTATATACTTGTAGCATGGTCCTTCTCTATATAGGCTAATATTGAAAGTTTTGAGGGTTAATTTCATTTATGGTCACTGAACTTCCATTTAAATTTCAATTGTATAACCCAACTTTAAATTATCGCAACCAGATTATTAAAATCCCATTTACTTTCAATATTAGTCACTCCGTTAATCCCTTTAATAAACTTATCATCACAAAACAACGTGAATGTAAAAAATTGACAGCTACATTTTGAGGTAAATATTAAAATTTAAAAATAAAAGATAATTCATTGGTCGAATCATGACAAAACTTTGTCGTGAAACAAGCATCTGATGTTTGAAGAACCGCCATTGCATACGTAGGCGCCTGCAGTTGCAGGTCTTATTTGGCCAAGTTCTATCTCGATGATAATAAATAGATAAGATTAAATTCAAGAATAAATAGAAATTTTTGTTTTTTCTTATCTTTTTCTTGGCTACCCATTCTACTTGAAATGTTATCCCTTTACTGTTATAAATTGAGCTGCTTGGCATCCATTTTCTCATAGCACAAATTGTATAGAAAAATTATTGAATACACAATTGAGTTCAAGCCATGGCTGCATCTTTTTCAGTACCTTCAATGGTAAGACTATGAAGTTAGTTTCTGGTTTTGTTTGTGCATATATTTGGATGATAAATTGGTTGAATTTTGGTTCTGCATTTGCATAATAATCTATTAAATTTGACTGAACAGATTATGGAAGAAGAAGGAAGATTTGAAGCAGAAGTAGCAGAGGTGCAAGCATGGTGGAACTCTGAGAGGTTCAAGCTAACCCAAAGGCCATATTCAGCGAGAGACGTCGTTGCACTACGCGGTAATCTCAAACAAAATTATGGATCGAATGAATTGGCCAAGAAACTATGGAGGACTCTCAAAACTCACCAAGCCAATGGCACTGCCTCAAGAACCTTTGGTTCACTTGATCCTGTACAAGTTACTATGATGGCTAAGCATTTGGACACAATCTATGTCTCCGGGTGGCAATGCTCGTCAACCCACACAACCAGCAATGAACCAGGTCCTGATCTTGCCGATTATCCCTATGATACTGTCCCCAACAAAGTCGAGCATCTTTTCTTCGCGCAGCAGTATCATGATCGGAAGCAAAGAGAGGCAAGGATGAACATGAGCAGGGAAGAGAGGGTTAGGACTCCGTACATTGACTACTTGAAGCCGATTATTGCGGATGGTGATACCGGATTTGGTGGTGCTACTGCCACAGTTAAGCTCTGCAAGCTGTTTGTCGAGCGTGGTGCAGCCGGTGTCCACATTGAGGATCAGTCCTCCATGACGAAAAAATGTGGACACATGGCTGGCAAGGTGCTCGTGGCGGTCAGTGAACACATCAATAGGCTCGTGGCTGCGAGGTTGCAGTTTGATATTATGGGTGTTGAAACCGTTTTAGTGGCTCGTATTGATGCTGTTGCAGCGACATTGATCCAAACCAATGTCGATACACGGGATCATCAGTTCATTTTAGGTGTGACGAACCCAAATCTTAAAGGGAAACCTTTAGCTACTCTGCTGGCAGAGGCAATGGCTGCTGGTAAAACAGGGTCGGAGCTTCAAACGATCGAGGATAATTGGCTGGCGATGGCACAATTGAAGACTTTTTCAGAATGTGTTGTCGACGCTATCAGAAATTTGAACGTTGGAGAAGCTGAGAAGCAGAGGAGATTGAATGAGTGGATGAACCATTCGAGTTACAACAAATGTCTCTCGAATGAGCAAGGGCGAGATATTGCTGAGAGATTAGGCCTAACCAATCTCTTCTGGGACTGGGATTTGCCAAGAACCAGAGAAGGATTCTACAGGTTCAAGGGCTCTGTAATGGCAGCAATTGTCCGTGGCTGGGCTTTCGCCCCACACGCCGACCTAATCTGGATGGAAACCTCAAGCCCTGACTTGGTCGAGTGCACCAAATTCGCCGAGGGTGTCAAGTCTATGCACCCACAGATCATGTTAGCTTACAATCTCTCCCCCTCTTTCAATTGGGATGCGTCTGGAATGAACGATCAGCAGATGATGGATTTCATACCGAGGATTGCCAAACTAGGCTATTGTTGGCAGTTCATTACTCTAGCCGGATTCCATGCTGATGCCCTCATTATCGATACTTTTGCTAAAGATTTTGCACGACGGGGAATGTTGGCATACGTCGAGAAAATCCAGAGGGAGGAGAGGAAACATGGAGTTGACACATTGGCACATCAGAAATGGTCTGGTGCAAATTACTATGACAGAATTCTGAGGACTGTCCAGGGAGGAATCACTTCAACTGCTGCTATGGGCAAAGGCAAATTACATCCTTTCCTTAATTTCTCTCAAGATTTTGTATCATAGATTCTTGTTATGTATATGTAAATTTTGGTATTATTTGGTTTTGCAGGGGTGACTGAAGAACAGTTTCAAGAGACATGGACGAGGCCGGGAACGACGACCATGGCGACTGACGGCAGCGTCGTGATTGCAAAGGCCAGAATGTAAGACACATCCTGAATATGGGTTCTGGAAGCTTGAGAAGTTTGTTTAGTTTCGATTGGTGAAATCAAGTACAATAAACTTGTTCTATGGTAGAATAATACGATTGTTGATTGGGAAATTATGGGGCATGTTTTGGCCTGCAATCTACCATTCTTGTTTCTTGCTATGTGAAGCTTTAACCAAGAAAAGGCTTGTATCAAATGCCATTTTGTTGGTTCATGTTTACAGCAACATTAAGAGTGTTGAATCACCTCGTCTCAAGACCGATTTATTTTTTCCTCAAACATGCACAAACTTACAAATAAATGAGAATGAGTTTCGAATCCAAGATACTTGTCTACTCGATGATGTGTTAACACATCGTCTAAAGGATTTCTGTTATTAATTATTTGCTCCATGGCTTAAGAACAGACAGTACAATTATGATTGCAATAACCAGGAGCAATATAATGGAAATCATCATGCATTTTCTTGATTTTTTCTGCAAGCTTTTAGCAGTATGGAGAGCATCTGTACCCATGTTTACATGGTCTACTGCATTCCTCACCTGTGAGTAGTTTCCAGGAGCAAATATACAACTATTAATATTCTATATAGAATGTCAAAGTTAACTTAAAACCTAAAACATTATAATCAATATATAAACCAGCCACTAGATGGCTCGATTGGTCTTTCGCTCCAATATCCAATGCATGTCTCCACTAGAGTTTCCGATAACTTCGTCCCTCTTATGCATAGTTCACAATGTTTCGGGTTTCAACATGTATGCTCATTCAAAATAATGACTAGCGTCTTATTAGTAATGATGACGTGGTGAAAATATCAATTGTTTAGATAATTTAGAAAGATGTCATGGTTTATTTAATCTGTCTAAAGGCGTAAACCTCATCATCATAAATTTTTAAGATAATTTTCTTTCCAATGATATGAATAGGTCATTTGACCTGTCTAGAGTGGCCCAGTTAATGGGTATAGCTTTAGTCAATGGATGCAACACTTTCCATTCTAAGGTGTGTAAACCCGATGGAAGAGGAGCCACGATGTCAGAATGCTCCCTGACAATGGCAATACGACATTCATTCTTGTGGCATCACCCCACTGGTGATAATGGCTTGGAGGTGTGATAATGGCTTGAAGGTTGTCGGGGTAATTTGTTGGATTGAGGGTCAAGAACGTGACGGGATATAGAGACTATCTATCTATTAACTCGATTGCATTTTGCCCATAGTTGTTGGGCTCTATGTGAAACTAGGAAGTTGTCGCCTTGGAGTTTTCCACAAAGTGAACCAGCCATAGGTCTGAGCAGATACTCAAATAGACCTAACATAGTCTATCTTTATGTATAGGTCGACCCAGATCGTGTTGGCTTAACAATGTTGTTGATACTTGACCATAATTACAAGGTTAACTGAAGACCTCCTCCCTAATGGAAGTCCTCAAGAAAAACTACTATTACAACTCTAGGAGTAGCTCGGCCCCAATCACCATCAACTCGGTATGTTCTATCATAATCAAGGAGCGATGTCATCACCTCTGTTTTGCCCAACCCCATAATGACACGTGTTATAATTGACATAAGCACCTCATGATCAACCAATCAAATATCAGCTATGATGGAGTGACTGCAATTGGAGGGAATATCATGATGAGCTGCAAAGAGTTGACCTCGTCATCCAATAAAACAGCTTTTCAAGTTGAATGATTTGGCACGCTTAACGAGGAAAATATTGCAGTTGACGTCGGGTGGTGATCTAAATACTATTGACAACATGATAGCGAAGGCCACTCCTTCCAAAATCAGTTACAAAAGGAATGGTCCCTTTGATGGAGGGAACTTCATGGTTAACAAATTATGTACCTTCATAGTTTAAAGATTAAAAAAAAAAAAGCCAATAAAATTGTCATTTTCCTATTCCAGCTAGCTAATTACCTCGTCTTATTCTCAATTAAGTTGACGTCAACAAATGCCATATCCACTTTTTACCCTTAGAGGGTATGTTTCTTTTACCAAACAGCTCACTGAGAGGTGAGCCTAAATGGCCAACAAACAGAGGAATATTTATGCTACTACCAACTAAGAGAAAAAGAAATCTTGTGCTAAGAAGTGTTTGAATTGAATTCATGTCAAAGTTTCCAGAGGTAATTATTGTCAGCCAAGCAATTGATATCATTTGGTGCATTAGTTGATCCATTGGTGATGATAAGTGGGACTTAAGTGTTTAGTTGATTTTGGAGGTCTAGGGACGACAGAGGAGATGGAATTAGCCAAAGGGGCGTGATGAGTGTGTTAAGGAAAGGAGTGGATAAAATGCCTATGAAGCTGAAAAAGAAATGTTACGATTTGTGAAATTTAGGCTACGAATTGATCCAAGTCACCAAAATAACATGAGGTTAATCTAGTTAATGGTAGAAATCGTCAAAAATTTATTATTCAATAAAAATAACTTACAATATATTTGATAGGAATTGACCCATCGGTTGAACCACTGACCCACTACATTGTTCGGGTCAGTATTCGAGTCGGATCTCACAACTATGATACTGAGAGAAGATCAACGATTTTGAAGAAATTTCAAGTTTGTATAAATTAATAAATAATAATAAGAAAACAAACTCTTAAAATAGTTTGTACACAATGTTGGAAACTGCGACGATAAGAAGGCTCTCAAAATAATTAACTAATGACAACGCAATAAAAAAAAAAAAAAAGTTCTAATCCATCCTCATGACAAATTAATAATTTTTTTGTTGAAGGGTTGAATTTCATCATAAAACTACAAAATAAAATAAAAATTGAAAATTTTATTCATTATACTAACATTCACGTAAGTACTTTACATTGAAAAAAAAACATTAGAGTGATACTTAAACACCTTGATACACAACACTCTCACATGTGTGTGGAGTTCACAATGGGGCCCATATTGTGGACCCCACACACATGTGAGAGAGTTGTGTACCAAGTGTGTACAAATAGCATTTTTCATCATGTATTAACACTTTTTTAATAATGTCATATATCATTAGCAAAAATCATTACCACCAGTATATAGGTGGCATTGAACCTCTAATTAATGATAGATAGTATTATTATAATACGAAGAAAATGCATGAAAATTAATAAACTATAGCGCTCTATATCCTCTTATTGAAAAAAATAATTTTTTTTAAAAAAAAGCACCTGCACATATAAATTAGACTAGAAATGCAATGCCAACTACCATAAAAACACTTGCGCGTCTAGGAGGGGATTTGGCATTCACCCCGACCTCGTCCCCTGATAAAAAAACAATAGTACAAAATGGGTTTTCTACTTTATTCCAAGTTTTCAAACTATACCTGTCGACAATGCCATCCAAAAACCAAACTATACACTAAAGATTCCACACTGAATAGTACAAAAAACAGTAGTAGTGAACTCAGAAACACCACACTATCCAGATGCAAAGACCCTAATGCAAATACTTCCTATTTGGCTCAAACTACCTATACCTATGAATATATACAGAGGACGCTAAAGGTTAGAATGACTTAAGCACCCTTGCCACTCTTCCAAGGTTGGATAACACCGACTACTATAACGGCTATTATTATTAAAAGGATAATAATGGCAATACACGTCCATTTTCGGGTTTTCTTCTGAAGTTTCTTTGCATTCTGAAGTGCAGTTGTCCCTGATTGGACATGATCAACTGCATTCGACACCTGAACAATATCCCCATTAACTCGGGACATTATGCAATTCGCGTGGCTTTACGACATAGTGATTAAGCATACAAAAGTTAGCGTTGTGAGGTTGGAAACAAACCTGGCTCTCAATGTTATCGAGGATTTCTCCTTGAGCTTCAACGAGAACAGCCATATCAAGGTATATCTGATATTTAAGAGATTTTTATTAGGCAAAAAAGAAGAAGAGAGATTTCCACAAAGTTAGGCCAAATTTGAGAAGTTGAATTAAGACAAACCTGGTGCAAGTCAAGAAGCTTTTGTTCAATTTCTTTCACAGCATCGTGTCTTTCCTGAATTTCTTCCAAAGTACTTAGCACCTACAACCAAGAATCGAGAGGTCAAAATCCTAAACTCCTAATGGGATAGATGATGTCTAATATAGCTTGCTTGTGTTAGGAATACTGCCCTGAAAACAAAATCTATTTTATGTAAATAGATACTCTCGGGTAAAGTCAGGCATATTATTCGTTTGTAAATAGTGTTGCTTGAAACAGTATAAAATTCTAATGTTAGCTTAGTAGTGATCACATTAGTGAAAGCGTATTTTCACTTGATTCCGAAGACAATAATATGTTGTTTTTTGAATGGAGAAGCAGCTGGACCATTATGATCATGACACTTACAAGGTTACTATTCAACTTCATCTACATTTTAAAGAGGGCAGAATTAGAGGTAATTTCAGTTATGCAATTTGTGAATTCAAATTGAGGGATTCGCGAAAAAATACATAAAACTTAAAATAGAGCAGAAATATTACCTCCCCACGACCTGTTTCTTGGATAGCCTTCTGGAATATTTGTTCACTGTTTCCAGTTTCAATAAGGTTGTTGATTGTCTGTCAATGGCGGGTTCAGCTATTACGATATCATCTATGTCATCTAGAACTCAAATATTACAAACAGAATATAGGCTCACCTCTTCATCTGGTCTAGTTCCAGTGACTGTTAACCAGGAAAATTTACAGCACAAGTTAGTCGATAAAATTTAGTATTGAACACAAATAAAAAGGTCAAAAGATGAAAAAGAAGAAATGAATTCTGGTCTAATGCACACGTCTGATCATTCAAACCTGTGATCACCCTTCTTTCCACAACCTCACGATATTCCTCGTCTATATTCTGTCTCAAGGTCTGTCAGAAGAAAACAGAATCATTTGTGATATAATTCCAACTGAGAGAAGGCAGGGCAAAAGCCACAAAACTATTTTAAATGTGAAATGAGGCAACACCTGAAATGCTGTCATCAGGTCTTTAAACTTTTTCGTCAAGGAACTGGAACAAAGTAAAATATGATTAAATAAATTCCTTCTAAACCAAAAATAAAGAAGCTGTGTAACAGATATATTCTCCATCAGAACGCACTTTGTCATGTTCATCCTTGACCTATCAACGGCTGTCCCTTTTTCACACCCGGGCTTCTGTCGATTGGCTAAGTTCTGACGAGGCAATATAAATCAGTTTATAGTAGTAATATTGTATAAGATTTTGAAGAAAATGCTGGGAGAGATTTTAAAAACAAATTGTCAGAGCAATACATCTTTATTTATTGCTTCAATTTTCGCTTTCACATTCCGTGCTATCTTTCCCACTTCATCAACATCTTTCTCCATACGCTTCCTGATAGCTGAAAATGAGAATTCCAGACAAAAACAGTTTGAAAGATTAATTCTACTAAGAAATTGGTGCAATAAACGTGAAATTCTCTTATTAGTTGAAAATGATAATAAAGACACTTGTTTGAACTGAAAGGAGTCATGAAAAAGGATTCATGTATAGCCTACCCGAAATTTAATGTGAACAGGGCTTATTTTCGCTGCTGCTGCTAATAAAGCACTTATTTTATACATATGTTGTATACAAGAGGCATATGTGTGTTTTAATTTTTATATGTCGTACACGGCGTGTGTATGTATGTATTTTTTTATTAATTAGCCTTTCAAGGGGTCCCAAGGGGCTTTTAGGTGGCCAAAGAAATCTGATTGACGGAGAAATTTCTAAAGCCATTGAGCCTTTCTCAGTTTGTAGTTCATACAATTAATAAGGAGACAATATAAAAGATGAAAGTCATTAGAAGGCAATATAAAAGATGAAACATTCACCTTTCATGGCGGATGCTTTTGTAACCGATTTTGATTCCTCATTGGCATCCTGGAAAAATTAAAACTGACGAATTATCCAAAGAAAAAGACTCAAACACCCATATTTTTGGAGGTCACAAAGCAACTGCTCACAAGTATGGTATTAAATGAAATGAAATAGATACTGTGCACATAATTGACTTTTCATGTTCCACTAAAAATTAATAAACCGAAGGTAAACCAGTCAGGAGCATGATGTCAAGTGTAACACATGAAGACTACGTAATTCTTCTCCAACTTAAGTTCAGAAGATTCTCGATTCAATTTGGTCAGGTTGATCAGGTGCAAATTATTCCTGTTGAATGTAACTTTTTACTTCTTATTAAAGCTACCTGCCTAGCAATTCTGCTAAAAATGCATCTAGTACCAAAATCTCAAGTCTTCAACCACTAATCTAAGGTAAATACACGAACCTTGAAAATGGAACAAGAGAGTGAAACACCACCTAAACTGCCATTACAGATAGAATAATTTATTTATTATGCACTTGTTTTGTCAATTTATGAGAGGGCTAGATCTCTTTATCTAGGTCAAGCACATGCATGCTGAAAACTAGTTAAGTAAAATGATTGTCTCTAATACAATTTTAAGATATTGACAAACTATAACTTTAATTAACATCTTCATTGAGGATGAATAAGAACTTTTGTGGACCGGGTGGAAGCTTGGACTGGATCGGTGTGTAGCTTAGGAAAACACTTTTATACGAAATTAAATACCCAACAGCATATAGTTTGAAGTTATATGTAATTTGGAAAAAAAAAAAACTGTTTAATTTCTCTATTAGTGTCCAATTGGAAAACTAACGTACTTAAAGAAATCAGAAATGTATTTCACTTTGAGTGCCATCTCTTTATATTTATTATGTAATGGCATGACATTTCAAGGAGAAAATTGAGTGAAGTGGCTAAAGTAGGTAAAGTAGGTCAAAAGAAAAATATAAAGTTAGAAAATTCTGGAATCCATTTACATACAATCAAGAATTGTGTAGTCAACTTTTAACTCAATAAGTTTGGGATCTATACATCTCGGAATTTGGTGGAATGTTTTCATTGAAAATTAGTTTGGTCATAATAAGTTTTTAAGTCCCGTTAACATTGACAATTGAGTTTTAGCAGGTTTAAATGTATATTTCCTAAAGTAGATTCTAAGTATGTTGCTAATGTTGATGCACCCCACCACCAGGAAGAAGCAGCAGAAGAAGAAACACCACAAGAAGCATTGCATCAGCATCTTTAGCTATTTGAAATTTTTCGCTTAAAAGAATCACCACAAGAAGCATTTCATCTCTTATGCAACTAATAATCAAATCTTTTAACTCTACTGTAAAGGCAAGTGAAGAAAGTGAAGATGTGCATTCAGACTGAGCATGAAGAAAACAACACAGACGAAGATCACAAGAGAAATCACACATTTATTCTAATAAATAGATGGTCAAACAAGGTCCAATAGAAATTTTTTTAAAAAAAAAAGTACCAAGAAAATAGCTTTTAATTATCTTCATTCATCACTGAAAGAAAAGTATTGATACGAGTATTGTTCATACCTTAAGTTTTGCAAGTAAAGCAGACAGTTTATCCACCTGTTTCTCAACCTCTTGTATCTATAAGAATGATGAATAAAATTGCTAAAATGAATCGCAAAGCTTGAGTAATGAAACGCTGTTTATTAAAGAAAGTATAAAGGGACATACTAATATACCTGCTTATTAAAACCTTCCATTCCCAAATCCGAGTTACTCCTGGGATACTGGGTGCCCATCTCAATATCAGGTTCTCTCGGAGGACTGCCTTTGGCATCCCCGACAAATGAATCCTGAAAACACACTCAAAATCCTTAAAATATGAGCTGGAGTGATCATATAGTATACAAATTTCAATCAATAGAACCATGATAGCACCAAAACATGAAAACATCACCTCATTAATTGAGTTCATACAAAACATAATCATCCAACATAATTCATTGTAAAAATATAATAAATTGCAGCAAAAAATAAATATAAATATGAAACTGGGATTCCCCAAGAAAAAAAAGTACTTGAGACTTCTTTTCAAAACAATTTTAAGAGTTAAGGAGAAAATCAAAAGAAAAAAGAATAAAAACAACTGGATATCACTGGTAGCATAATTCAAGGCACTACATATAAATAAAAATTCGATCTTTTTGCACTTTCTCGGTAAATAAAATTCATTAAAAATTCAAACTCCAGATATCAAAATTGAGCTTTATCTAAAAAGATCAAATTCAATATCAATTAAAAATTTAAACTCCAACCCAGCTCTAAGAAAAGACTGATGCTTACCATAAAAATATTATATCAACTTTTCCATAGCAAGTTAACCAAAGAATTATCTTTCCTGCAGAATATGTGGAAAAAAAAAATCGGTGAAAAAAATGTATTCTTACCGTGAGAAGGTCGTTCATCTTGATGAAACAAGTATCAGAGAGAGTTCAAGATGGTGGGTTTTGGACTGAGAGGGAAAGTTAACGTTATTCTATACTGTAATCCGTTGGTGACGTATATAATATTTATTTATGTTTGGATGATACAATGTTGTGCAAGGCCGGCGAGAATAGAAAGGGAACTTCGTTGATCAATTGAATTTTAATAAAGATAGGCTTTACTTTTTAACAATATGTGGCAACAACATACCAAAATAATAAACGATCTCTCTTTATTTATCTCTTACGCGTTACTTGGTTTTTATCAAAAGCTTGGGTTACAAACTACCAACTATGAGGCAAAATTTGGAATCTCTAGCCATATCAAGCACACACATCGGCATATTTGATATTACATAGCAATTGCCTCTTATTCTAGTTATTAACCATTATGTAATGATATATTGGTTTAATATTTAAAAGGGAGGACAAAAAAGGAACGGAATTGGAGCCTAACTTCGGGAAAATAGATGGACTGTACGTGATTGAGCCAAGTCGAAAAATGAGGTTGGATACAAATTGTGTTGAGCTAGGCAAAAAATAATTTTGTCAGGGGTACATAATTTTTATACATAAAGGAATACATAACACTTATATGGGGTGGACACGAGATACATAATACTCACAGGGAGTGGATGCCCACCTCATGTGAGTGTTATGTATCCCTTTATGTACAAAAAATATGTACAACTAGAATTATCCTGTACAAAAAAGGGGGTGGGAACAAGATGATCCCTTTTTGTTTTACTTTGTGGAAAAAAAAAATATATAGGTATTTTGCACTTTTGTTTTTGAAATTACCGCAGGTGTAAGATAGCCTATAATACAATTAAATCTTTGAATGATCAACTCGATTCCTGAGCTAAACTCAAGTGCTTGTGCCCATAGGTTTTGGGGCCAAAGTTCATCATTTAAACATTATGGAGATTTGTTTAGATTAGTTTTTGTAGAACTTGTCTTGGTTTAAAAGACCAAGTCAAGAACTTTTGTTTTCCTATAAAATCTAGGATTGGGTTCATTGTTATTCTATTGTTTATGAACAAAATTTGAGAATTTCTTAATTATCCCAATTATCAGTACTTTGCAAATCAACAAAAATTTAATCGTCAGATTCTCTGCATTCAGTTGAATCAACTTGTGTTTGAGAATGCTAATCACATTCCACATATAATGATTTGGAAGATCCAAAACCAAGCCCAGATGTGTTGCAAGTGTTGCAGAATGATCACCAGCTCCAATTTGGTCCATTGAATGTATTGTAGCCCCCAACTTTTTTTAAATATAATATTTGGTTTTGACACAAAATATATTAAAAAAATTAATTGTCTAAATCTTTTAATTGTATAATCGAGTAATACCCATCTCCCAAATTTTCTGCTAAATTGATATTTTAAAATTTTGTAGGCATTAGAAAACTTTTTGTTAGTTATATTGATAGAACATTATGCTTATAATAATATAGTCATAACAGTAGATTTTAAATTTAATTGTCGTTAAGTTAAAATAGTGTTATATGATACACTAAATATTGTAAGTATCGTTGAGGTTGCAAGTAAAGTTATATTATATATAATATTACTGAATATATAAGAAAAAAATTAACATTACTAAACAAAGAAAGATCTTATATTTGAAATAATTACTTTTCTCAAAGTATAAATTCTTTTGTCATACATACAACGTGTAGGGAAAATGGCAGCGAATGTTCCAAACATTTCCATTTGCTGCAGACTATACCTTAACATTTTATTTTTGGGGTCGAAGTCCCATACCTTTCACTTTGACTGCAGTCGAAATCCACTGGATAGAATCCGCCCATTAAATCTATTAGTCAACATTGAAATTAGATGTTTGACTAAAATTAACAAAATAAGTGAGGGGTAAAACGGTATATTTACGTTTTCTATATAAAACTTTAAAATAATTAAATCAAAAATAAAAAAATTACTCATCTTTTCCACAACCCCACAGGTCACAACCAATCCCATCTCCACTCCTACCCCACTGACCACCGCCACCAAACCACCTGACATCGCACCACACACCGCAAACCGCCGCCACCGCCGACCCAAATCTTGGACTATAGCGCAAAAATCTCACTCAAATCCAAAAAAATTTAAAATATTTGCAGAAGTTTTTCTCCCAATACGAGTGCAATTGAAAGGTGCAAACAACGCCTGCCATCTTGTCAACCTGTTCATCATCATCATCACCCTTCCTCTAAGACTTAAAATTCAATGTATCACCCCAATCCCGCAACAATTGTTGTTGTTGCTACTTCACCTACAAAATATGGTGGGAACCCAAAATTTTGTTGCTTGCTCTATCTCAAACGAGATCATTTGATATTGATCATTTTAGTATGGAGGGAAAAATATTGCATCCGTCACTGCTGAAGGTTGAGAATCATTAATGGCAAATGGAAAAGAAACAAGCCTCAAATATGGAGGCGGAAATTTTATTGGAGTGTTACCATAACTATCAGGCTTTGTTTGATTGCGATGGAGGAAAATAGGAGGAAAATAGGTCAAAAGAAAATAAATTTCAAGAAAAATAATTGCTTAAAAATTGTTTTGCAGATAATTGTTAATTAAGTGTGTTTGATTGGTGTAATTTTTCATCCGAAAAATTTTTAAATTTTGTGCATCAAAATTGTTCATTAAAGTGATAATTTTTTCCACATTAGGTTATAAAATTTATTTCCATTGTCAAAAAACAAAAAAAAAAAAAAAATTTCCCAAAAAATCATTTTTTTAATCAAAGTTTAGTGTTCGTTTGGCCTTCGTTTGCATCAAAATTGTTCATTAAAGCGAATTTTTTTTTTTTTACAATTGATTATGATATTTGTTTCCATTGTCAAAAGAAAAAAAATTTTGGATGGTAGCTTGGAAAAGGCTTTTCCCACCAAAATGGTGGGGAAGACTTTTCCTCAATTCCAAAGAAATGGTGCACATGTGGGGTGAAAGGTGGAAAACAAATCCCCAAGAAAATAAGCCCATCAAACATGCATTTCTTGGAAAATGGAATTCCAAGGAAAATAAGGGACATCAAACGCAGCCTTAGGGTTTTATTTTATTTTCAGCCCACAAGATTGTAATAGTATATATATATTATATGGAAAATAATTAAAAAAAACTATCCATCTTTCTTTGAAAAATAGAGGGTGCATTCTTTAATCCAAAAAGATAACTAACCGTTCAAAATGTCCCAATGGTGTAGTAAAAGTAGGAATAGAATCTTTTGCCATTTTTATTTGCCAGAATCCAGATTTACAGTCAAATTTTGAAAATATTTGTCTTTCCTTACAATCTTTTATCAAGAAACTCCGACACCAAAAGATAGAGCTCAGTGATTTGCTTCTTGATCTGTAAAGAGGAGTCACCTCTATCTACCTCTATTTCTATCTAATGCGGATAATATGTGGCTTTCTACAATAACTAATCTACCAAATTCTCGATTTTCTAGATAGATATTAATAGATTCTTTAAAACTTTCTAAAGAACAATAAAGCAAAGTATAACCGTCTAATGGCATAAAATATAGGAAATTAAAAATAATATGTTTGTAATGGCCTTGGAATACTTTACCCTTCAGCAAATTAATTTCTTCAAATACCTTTTTAAAATCTCTCTCTCAGCTTTTTTCTTGATATCCTAAAAAGGCTTAAGACTGTAATCAAAAAAGATTTTCATCATGTTTAAAAGGATTGATCAAACTCACTCAATCAGTAAAATAGCCGACTTAACTCGGAATCTTTTTTGGCAATGGAATCCAGAATAAAGAGGCTAGGAGCTTTATGATTATATATAAAAATAAAATATAATTTTTGAATAAATTGATTGCTTACTTGGTGGTTCCTCAAAAAATAAATAAAGTAAACAGAAATTATAAACAAGAGAAAGTATGAAAATGACTTACTTTATTTCTGAAATCTTTAAATCTACAAAGATTGAATTTACAAAGATGTCGTTGAATTTTTTAGTACAAATATAGTGTTATACTGCTATTTTTCTTGGTGTGTTCTTTCTCTAAGTGGTGTTGATATTTATAGACGCTGGTACATCATGTCTATCCTTTCTATACTATACAACTTTACGGGTGTGTGATTTACAATTAAAGAAAAAGTAATTATTATTGTATAACTTTCCAGGTGTGTGACATATAATTAAATAATTAAATGTTTCTTTACAGCTATGAGAATCTTTTTGAAATTTTCGTTTTCTTAGCTCCAACTTTTTGACTTTTTTGATTTGATAATTGTCATTTGAACACTATTCATCTGCGTTTGCTATCCATCATTTCTATGTAGGCTTCTTCTAGATTTGCATCCATTTCATTAATTTGGCCATCCTATATGTATTCTTCTTCTATATCT